GCGGGAAGGACCTGTCTGCCGGGAGATCCCGGAAGAGTCAGCCCCTCCAGGGCCCCGGCCCTGCCCCAGCCCCACTGGGCCGCACCCCAAGGCTTTAAATGCGCGACAGCGAGGGTGCTGGGGCCCTCACGGGTGCCATGAGCAGCCCCTGGGCACTCGGCAGAAGTGCCACTCCAGGGACCAACCCGGAAACCCGCTCCTAACAGGCTTCACGTCTAAGGCCTGAGGCACCGGGGAGCCCGAGTGGAGCCTGAGCCTCACTCGGCTGTTTCTACCGCACCCTCGGGGGTTTCACGTACACAACACGGCCGCGCTTTCGGGGAAGAAGGCTGTGAGGCCCCGCGTGGCATTTACAAGCACTGCAGTCGAGCCCCAAAGGCCCCTGAGTGCTGGTGGCCGGGAGTCTGGGGCGGTCCAGGGGCCAACGCAGCGACCGAGGGATTTAGAACCGTTCGTGCAAAAACAAGCCCTCTGGACGTAACACTGAGCAGCAGACAGACGCTCTGTGTGCAGGGGCTCGTGGCCCCTTTGTTGACCAAGTGATAATTTCTTCTCATTTCCCAAGAGTAGAAGGGAAATAGGCAGAATCCAGATTCACTAATTTTGCCATTTACAATATTCTCCTGATTTTCTTTGGAGGGTAAAGGGAAAGCGTTGATTTGGGGTAAAGGGAAAGATTTGCTAAAGCCTGCTTTTCACTTTGTCGGCTTTTAATTTCCCTTTACCGTGGAAGGCTGAGAATCCACTGAACGTGATAAGCTTAAATGCGTTCAGTATACTTAGCTGACCCAGCTCAGGACCACATCAGGCTGAAGATGAGAAAGGGGGGGTGCCCAGCAGGGTGCGTTGGCAGGGCGCCCCCCCGCCGACCCGACGGGCCTACCCAGGGCTGTCCCATGGCCTCAGGGTGTGTCCCCCAGCCTCACAGCCACGTGGGACAGGCGCCCGGCTGCACACGTGCTGTCTGCTTGTGTTACAAGTACTGTCAGCCTCTGTTAGCAAACACTTAGGACAGCTCACGTCCAAGCTGTTTATGGACATAAATGGCCCTTTTATGAAGTGTCTCTGGGGAGCCTAAAAATAATTTACTTCAAAAAGGACTTCACTTCTAGCTTGGACAGGAGGATGGAGAAATATTACTCCAAAAAGACCGAGAGCTTAGATATATAACTCACAGCTGTCCACACCACGAGTTTATAAACATCTCTAAATACCCAAATATTAAAAGTCTGCTGAATCATATGGATACTTAAAAAGCTAAAGTAGAATTCGTATCAAAATACAAAATATATTTGGTAATTATCTTCCCAAAGGGCTCAGCCTTCAACTCCGTCCAAATACCAAACGAGGAAAGCCTGCGGTGCTCACTTTTCCAGCCTCACCCGCTGGCAATACGGATCCGTCTAAATACATTCACTCTTGTTCAAACTCAAACTAATCCTCGCAAGACACAGAAATCCACATTAGTTCTCCAAGGTAACCAGGCATTTACCTTTAGAACAATAGGTATTTAAGAACCATCAAGGCAATGCCTCCATAGATTCTGGAAAGCAACTGCAAACCTGCTGATGAAGATGGTGGTCAAAACATGCTGAGAGGGGCGCCAACTGCCTCCTTAAAACAAGTAATTGCTGGAGCCTTTCAAGGACATAAACCCCATGACGATTTATTTTGCAGTAACTTCCCACTGAGCGTTTTTTTCCTACCTCTGGCCCAGTATTTTCCTTAATACGCAAGGTAATGCCAGGACACAGACAATCTGGTGACTGCTTAACTTGGAAGAAAAATAATTTCTCTACAGCGGGATTTGTGAAGAGGAAGAGCGACGTCAAAACCGCTGGAAGCCAAGTTCCCTCAGTGCAGACCCGAGGCCGCGTGCAGGCAAAACGTCCAAGGCCCGGGAAGTGAGGCGGCACAGGCCACAGCTGCAGTAAGCAGGGCCGGCTCCTCTGGGCACCACGACCTCAGGGCTGACTCAGCTCCCTGCCGCCAGCGGCCCGGGGTGAGGCCACTGATGAAAGAGGTGTGGGCACCCACCTGTGACCGCACTGGCCACTGCGCATCCCCTGAAGCAGATTCCCCCGTCCCCGGGGTACGTGAGCCCGGACCAGCCCTTGGGAGACACATCCCCCAACGTCTAAGACTGAGGCTGTGTCCCAGTGGTGAGTCTGGGCAGATTCATGCAGCCCAACAAAGCGGCCCTCAAGTCAGAAACCTTTCAACCTCCTAGCTGAAGACGCACGGTCTGTTCAGTTATGAAAAGCGTTTCTATTGGGGAAACGCGCCTTCCCCTTCACCTGCTGGACCAGCTCCCACCCTTCCCGGCTGTGAGAAGAGCCTCGGCAGAGTCACGGGAGAACATGCTCCACGGCGGCGTCTGTCTGTTAACGCGTCCAGACGCGTGTACACAAGAGAAACCAGCGAGTGGAGTGGAACCCGGACCTCTGGTCATGCAGAATTCCCCCTCAAACCCAGCAGGACAGCAACGATGAAAAACTCTCATCAGGAAAAGAATCCACGTTTCATTGAACGATAGAGAGGAAATCGCCAAGTGTTTAGAAGCAG